CCATCCATCCATCCATTATCTTTACCCGTTTATTCCATTTTGGGTCACGGGGGTCGCTGGTGCCCATGTCCAGCAATCACTGTGCGAGGGGCGGGGTACACCCTGGACGGGTCGCAAGTCCATCACAGGGCCACATAGAGACAAACGAGAATAACAACCATTCACTTTCTCACTCACACCTAGGGACAATTTAGAGTTACCAATCAGCCTAACATGCATGTTTTTGGTCTGTGGGAGGAAACCGGAGTACCCGGAGAAAACCCACGCATGCACGGAGAGAACATGCAAACTCCACCCAGAAAGGCCCCTGGACCGGGGTTTGAACCAGGGACCTGCTCGCTGAGAGGCAGCAGCTCTACCAGTTGTGCCACCGTGCTGCTCCCTTTGTCCCCTTTAAACATATTTCTTGTCTCTGTCTTTGTCTCATCCGGTCATCCATGTGGACAGCTGCAGGGTTCTGTCCAGCTTGAAAGGTTCGGAGCTTCTTTCTTGGTCGTGTCAGTCCACGGTGATGTAAAACAGTTTCATCCCATCTGAGGGGCACAGATGAGTGTTGCTCAGTCCAGTGAGTGCTGTCAAACTGAAACTACCAGCTGCAGTCAATCATGATCACTAATAGGAAATAATAGGCCCGGTCAAACTAAAATACCTTAATCCAGAACCTTCTTCAGCATCATAACATCTGGTCTAGAGCAGGTTGAGACAGTGATGGTGACCTTGTCCTCAACTGGACCTCCGTACAAGATAAACAGCAGATGTTTGATCTTGGTAATAAGATCAACCTTCCTGGGTGTTTGCATCTTCCTCCATGCTGTAGGAAGCTGTCTTTAACGCTGGAGCCTGGTTAATGTTTACAACGTGTTACAGTAAATGTTCTGTACTCTCACCCAACAGGTGGAAAGATCCCAGGTTCACAGGCTGGGACTGTAGGTCTGATACCTGCAGGATGTCACGGAGTTCAAGCGCTTACAGGAAGTTTCTTTACCTCAAACTTCACTTCATTCAGGAACAGAAATCTGTCCTATCTGTGCACTTTCGTGATTTTATTCGTGCTATTCCTTTCATGGTTTATGTTTTATTTTTGTCCCTTGAGTTCTGCTGTGTCTGTTCAGTTTAGGTCTTTTGTCTTTTTCATCGTTATGGTTTTATTTGAGCATTCATGGCCCATGCCATGAATGGATGGATGGCATGGGCGACACGGTGGTGCAGTTGCTGCCGCCTCTCAGCGAGAAGGTTACCAGATTGAATCCCAGCCTGGGACCTGTCTGGGTGGAGTTGGCATGTTCTCTACATGCATACGTGGGTTTTTTCCGGGTACTCCGGTTTCCACCCACAGACCAAAAACATGCACGTTACGCTGACTGGTAACTCTAAATTGTCTCTAGGTGTGAGTGAGAGAGTGAATGGTTCTTTGTCTCGTTTGTCTCAATGTGTCCCTATGATGGACTGGAGACCTATCCAGGTGTCCCCCGCCTCTTGCACAGTGACTGCTGGTTATGGGCACCAGTGACCCCCATGACCCTAAACGAAAGAAGTGGGTAAAGATGACGAATGGATGGTTTGCATGTTTCTTGTGCGATCCTCCATTTCCCCTCCGTCAGCTTCCTCAGTGTTTGTTCCGTTAGGCTGCCAGCCTCACCTGCTCCTCATTAGTAATCTGTCCAGGTGTTTCCATTTCCCGTCTCCCTCAGTTTATTTAAACACTCTTGTCACCAGCGGTTCAACGTATTGGTTCTCCACGCCTTGGTCCTCCTCTTTGTTCTTCTGCGTATGAAAGTTTTGCTGCTTTTTGTTTTTATTTACTTAATAAATAAAATTTTTAGTTTAACCTTCTTTTACTCCTTGTGTGTGTCTGTACCTGGGTCCAACATTGCAACTACACTTTCTAATTTTTATATTGCTTAAAAGTAGTTTCCTCAAATGACCGAGGTGGCTGAAGATTAATCTATGAGGGCTAAGGTCACCATTGGCCACCCCTTAGCTCCTCCACTGCACATGGAGGATAAAATGGCTCCCTCCACTCTCCAGGATCCATCACTCACTCAGAGCTGCCTCGAACAAGAAAAATAAAAACCTTCATGTGTTCTTCTCCACAATGTAACTCCTACTCATTTGAATATCTTGCACCAAAAACATTTAGGTTCACTTTTATTCCCCGGCTAATTCCAGTCCAGAAAACATTCATCTTTAAAATGTACTGTTCAAATCCCTCAGAGACGAGGGACATCGGAGTACCGCTTGTTTTAATTTAAACTTTTTTAGAAACTACCTGCTTCTTGCATCTCTGGATCCCCACACCATCAACCATGTTTGTTTCTCTCTGGTAAAATTATTTGAATATTTGGATGTTAATTACCAGTCACGTCAAATTATTAAGCCCAACAACAGAAACATGTTACAAACACGAGCCAAAGCAAACGAGACAGAAGTTCTTAAATTACATTTAATAACACGTGTAAACAATGAAGCGTCACATCCATTCCCGTTTCCTTTAAGTTTATTGTTTCAAAACAACAAAATAAATCAAAGCAGTCAAACACATCTCGGTCTAAAGGCAGCGGAGGAATCATAAGACATTACATTTTCCAGCGAAACATCGTTCTTGAAGCGTCCAGGTGTGGTTAGCGTGACGAGCAGCGCGGACTGTAACTGGCCCAGATGTGCAACAGGAGAAAACAGCAGAGGCAGAAGGTAGACAATATTTGATACGGACCACTTTGTATGAAAATATATAAAATTAAAACAAATGAATTCCTGGGAAATCCAATAAAGATTTGTAAAAATATAAGCAGAACTTTTCCTGTTTACTCAATTAAAAACTTTACAAAATAGTGATAAGATGTTAAAATGGTTTCATGACGTACCGAAAAGATTTATACATGACTTTATAAAAAAAGGAAATATTGGAACGAGACAGAAATATTGTTTTTGAGGGTGCTTTTCACCAACGTGTCTAACTCTCTCCCTTTCTTTTTAATAAACTCTCAGGAGGAGCGAGGTCTGAATGAAAAACACCCTCAGAGTTCACGAGGAGGTAGCTCTTTGCCTCCGTACCCTTGTTTCATGACATTCACATACCAAATTGTACCTTGTCCTCAAACTTCGGCTTGTAGGTGAGAAAGCCTTTGAGACTTCATCTTCGCAGTAGCCAGGCCAGAAATGCAGTTTATATTGAGTTTCCCGACTGAAGTAAACGGATTGTTTGTTGATATCGAGCAAATATTTGCTACTTATCGCTGAACAAAGCTGTTTGCAAAGAGGCAGCGAATCAAAATCACTTCTAAACGTTCATTTAAGACACAATCCGGAGGAGCTCAAGACTTCAACGTCCAAATTATTCTTATTCACACAAAGTCTGAAGAACCGGCACATGCACTTCTAATAACGAGCGTGCACATCGCAGATTGATTGCTAATTAAGAATCCGGATTGAGGCTTTAGTTTCCAAAGCTCAATAAAAACTGCCTGTTTCTGGCACGGCTAGTGGAAGTAGGACTGCAGGGTACCGCGGCGGCGGACATCGGTTGTCCAGCAGTGGAAGCCACCACCAAGGGAGTTGGCATGGCGAATGTTCACCTTTATGGTCTTGATACCTGAACAAGAGATATATATAAAAAATTAGCATGACTATAAAAGATACAAAAGCTGATGTAACCGAAGCCGGACTCAGACGATGGCGTGCACTCACCGAGGCTTTCAAACATTTTCTGGATGGAGGTTTCGTTGGCGTCAACCATGACCCGTTTCTCGCCCAACATCAGGACGTTCATGGACAGCCATTTGGAGGACATCCACAGTGGGTGGTCTGCACAGAAAAAACTTTTCATTAGAAAATAACCTCCTGTCTGAGCGCTGAGTCAGCATCAGACAAATGTTTATTTTTTTTCTGTACGGTCATGATAATCCAGCTACATCTGCTGTTTTAGCTGTTAAACAACGTTCAGCTCATTCAAATCGAGCTGAAGGTTTTAGTTTTGTAGCTATCGGAATATTACAATGTTCTACAATCTGATTCTGCAAATAATTTTGTTGCGTTTAGCTACTTTTAGCTTTTAAATAGCCTTTTAGTTTTAACATCTGTCTAGCATTTTGCTATTTTTAGTTAGCATCTGCTATGTTTATCTAGCCTTTTGCTCCTTTTGCCTATTAGCCAGGCTTTGATGCTTTCAGCTTGTATTTTGCTTCATTTAGATTTAAGCTATACATTGGCTAGTTTTATCTTTTAGCCATCTTTTTATTTTTAGCTTCTAGTTACTGATTTACTACTCTTAGAAACCATGTTAGGAACTTTATCTTCATGCTAGTCTTTTACTACTTTTAGCTTATCTTTTGTTTCTTTGTGCTAGCTTTTAAAATTGTTTTTTCTTTAAAGCTACTGTATTTATCGTTTAGCCATGTTTAGCATTTAACAAGCATTTTTTTATTTTTAGCTATTCTTTTTTTTTGCTTTTGTCTACTAGCCAGTCTTTCATGTTTTTGGCTAGTGTTTTGCTCATTGTAGTTTTTAGCTATATTTTGCTTTTTAAGCTTTTATTTAGTATTTTGTTACTTTTAGTTTTTAGTTAACATTTGTTATTTCAAGCTTTTAGCTACAATTAGCTTAACTCTTAGATGCTTTTTGCTTGCATTTTGCTTCATTTAGCTATTACTTCTTTAAGCTAGCCTTGAGTTTTTAGCCAGTCTTTTTTATATATATACTGTATACTTTTAGCTTCTAATTACTGTTTTGCTATTCTTAGTAAATCTTTTTGGCAGTTTATTGTCTAGTCTTTGTGCAAGTTACCTGTAGTTTGCTGTGGCGACCTCTGAGGAAGGGGGCAGCCAAAAGTAAAAAAAGTAAATAAAACACAATAAATCTTCTTGCTTCTTTTGCTGGTTAGTGCTAAGTTTTTGATTTGGTTTAGCTGTTTTTGAGCAGTATTTTGCTCCTTTTAGCTTTCAGTCAGTGTTCTACTTGTTTCAGCGTTAAGGACGCAGTTTCAGCGTTCCTCTTGTTCCTCCTTCAGTCAGAGAAGTTTCAGCTGAAGCTCTCACCATCGGGAATCAAGGGCGTCGGAGGTTTCACCACCGTCCAGCCGGCCTTCTTGAACATGTCCACCTGCGGGGAAAGGGCAGCGGTGAATCATTGAGCCATCGGTGAGTTCTACCATGTTTCTCCAACAGAGGGCAGTGTCCTCATCGAGTCCTGTCTGAGAATACCTGGCGACAGGGGCGGTCAGGATTGGACAGCACCAGCCCGGGGCCGATGATGTTGAAAGTAGCATCGATATGCATGGGGTTCGGATCCTTGAATGAGATGATGTGGACCTTGTAGTCTGGAGCCAGATGACGCCTCATCCACTCGATTCCCGAGTAGTTTGTAACCTGAGGTGGAACAGTTGACAGGAATGATCCTGGCTGAATGTTCAGATGAACTCTGACATCAGCGGCTTCCTACCTGACTCCTCTGGACGAAAAGGTCCCTCCCAGCTCGGATAAAGTCAGCAGCATCGAAGCAGGGCTCATGTTCTGTGGTCACGAACTTGCCCTGGGCAGCCAATTTGTGCCTGTCCTCCACGGTCCGGATGGGGTAGTCCTGAGTGACGCAAGAAAACACCAATTCACACTGAAGCAACCAAACCGAAGTGGAGTCTGTTCCTACAAACAAAAAAACGCTCAGGGCAAAAAGTTCAGAGGTGATGTGAACAACCTCAATGAGATGGTTGGTCCTGATCTCATAGGCTGATCCACCTGAGGTGGGCCTCACCTGGTCATACAGTTCATCCGCCATGGTGGGTTTCGGAGCAGTGGTCCACTTGGCTCCTCTTCTGAAGTACTCCTTGATCAAAGGTCTGTAGGCGCGATACTCAAAGAAGCGAGCCCTCCAGGCCATCGGAGCCTCAATGATTTCATTCCCCACAACTATCAGGATGTCCCTGGGCATGGCAGCATACATACCTGCAACAAGAAAACAAAAACAAAATTACCATTCATGTCGGGAAAATTACACACAATCCCCTGATAATTGTCAAATTTATAACTAGAGACAGGACCAGAAGACGAAAAATGAATTTGCGAAGGATGTGCACCACCTAGTGGAGGGTCCTGGTACTGCTTTAAGCCCCGCCCCTTCATTTTAACATAAACAGTACAATCAAACACATAAAATCTTCTCGTTTAATGGTCAATGTTAATTAAATAATTGTAGAAAAACTTATGAAGCTATACCAGTTACCAGCTGCTATGATTAAAAATAAATTTAATTCAAACGGTAAACTTGCTATGCTTCATCCCTGACATTTATTCTTGACAGATGTCTTACTCGTTCTTCCTTTCTTTTCTTTAGCAGCAGATGTTTCCTCCTAAAACTCTTCTCAGAGCTTCTATGGACGTCCCAGAAGCACTTTGGTAACAGCTGCTGTTTTTAAATGTGCTTTATAAATACATTTTACTTGACTTAAGTACGCAAACTGCAGCCTGCCGGGTGCAGCTCAGTCCTGTCACTCATGCTCAGACAGGTTCAGACGAGCGCTTTGTTTACACTGAGTACGTACGTGAATTTCACAATGGCATACTATGGAGTTGTTTTGTACCGTCAAGTTGAGCGTGCATAAAAAGTATGCGCTCATCTGCCTGTTGACTCCTTGAAATTGATTCAATGTATGGAAGGCAGTTTTACCATACAATCAAATCACATTCATACACATTCACATTCTCTTTACTATTTCATATTTTAATGTTAATATTTCTCCTGGTCACAAAATTGTCCTTGCTTGTCAGAATTTAATTAAAGATATTTAAAATTGCATTATTTAGAGTAAATATTAAAAACATTTCACTTCGTGCTCAAGTTCAAGGCACAAAAATTACTCCACAGCATATAAAACTGCAATATCTGATATAGTTCAGGTAAACTTTATTTTTTTATTTTATAGTTTGTAATTCAAGCTTTAATGCGTTTAGTTTTATTTATTACTTGAGGCTTAAAGAATGGTTGTGTGATTGACAGCCTGTTAACCAGTCAGGAGCGGGCGTAGGCGGGACTTTCCTATGTTTACATCAGAGTGAGCAGACTCTGGTTCCAAAAATACAACGGCCAGAAGACGTGTTTGGTTCAGTGCCAGTGGTGGAGACGCTGCGCCATCTTTATTTATTGAATGTGATGTCTTCATACCTGTTGATGTGAAGTCTGGAGTTCTGTATTCAACGGACCAGTCCAGGGGTTCTGGCCTCCTCACGACAACGCCCTCGTGACGGAGGATGTTGCACATTTCTTCGATCTCAGAAACGGCCTTTTTCAAGTGGTCCGCAGGAAAAGACTGGCCCCCATGCGTCTGGTAGAAGGGCCAGTACTTCTCATATGTGTTAGCCTGTTTGGGCAAATTAAAAAGAACAAATCACCGTCATGATTTCATGTTGCAGCTGCGCCATCTTGACGAACTTACTTTCACTTCCACGGTGAAGGGAGGCACGTGGGCGTTCTCAGCTCGCCCCACGATCACCTCCTCAAGAGGGTCCCATTCGTTGTAGCTGCAGACGGGACATTCCTGCTGCAGGGGCTCAGCGACAGCTTCCTCTTCAGCTGCATGTTGTTGTGCAGCTGCTGCACTCGAAGAGCTCTGGAAGGCCCTCTGCATCCAGCCGGCGACTGAGCGGCCAACCTGAGGGAGGGGTGGGCAGATTTGCATGAGTGTACAGAGAATATTTTCTGCAAAATGTACGGTTTTATTTTAACTCAAGACCACAGAGCAATAAGTTAATTCAAGCTGGGGTTTCTTTGTCTTTTTCATTGGTAAAAATAAAAGTGGGAAACTACATGAAAAAAACTTGGCCTGTTTAAATACAGTAGAGTGGAAAGTGATACAAGTCAGGGCTGGTTCAGTGCCAAAGTACACGTGTTATTAAGCAGCCTTATCTCCTCAGATAGCAGTTACAGTGTGGCCCCCACTGGCTCCGGACCAGCTCCGGTGTCAGTGAGTTTAGGAGCCTACTGGGCCAGACAGCTGTTCACAGTCACTCAGAGACCAAGAGAACAAAAATAAAGAGCAAAAAAAAAAAAATGATGTTAGGGAAATCAGATGACTCTTTGGACCCCTCGGAGTAAAAACTGTCATATCTGATTTCTTTTCCCCCCAAACGGCTTCATCAGGCGAGCAGTAAACGGTTCAATAAATCAATAAAGCTGCTCTGAAAGGTGCTAACTCGCTGCGCGGCGGCTGCTGGAGATGCAAAAATGTGGGAAAAATGCACAAAAATAGGGGAAATTTTCTTTGCATTTCCACCAAATCCTGAGTGTTTGCGACCACTTTCTGAAAAAGGTCGCCCACAACTCCTGAACACTGTAATTAAACTGTGACCTGTTTAATTAGAGGGACGTTACATCAGTGACAAATACAGATGGAAATATGTCAATTATCTTCAACAATAAAAGCAGAAATACAGAAGAATCCATGAAAGAACAGTAAACAGGATATGTTGCTCCACAGTACAGATTCAGCTGCCATCCCATAATAGTTCGTCATGAATTTGAGTTATTTTGTTGCCCATCTGAGCAGCTGCCCCACTTTCATGATTCAATCTGCTCACTTGACTTTAGTAAAGGAGGCATGCAGGCAGATCTGGACCAGGTTTTTTTTTATTAAAGATCATTTATCATCAGTGTGTTTTTAAACCTGTCAGAGGATAAAAATATTTATAAACATCAGGAAATACATTAATAATAATAATAAAAAAGAAAACACGTGTCTTCAATGTCCAGTCTGTAATGGAGGCTTTTTTGTTTTCATTGGTCAGTAATTTGTTAACGGTCCAGAAGTGATCCAGAGGCAGCAGACCAGAACCTGACTGCCAGAACCGGGTCACACCACAGCAGAAGACCAACCTAAGACTGACCTCACCTCGAGTCTAACCTGGACTCTGCAGACAATCTGGAGACCACTTTGAGACTCTTTTGAGAGTTATTATGTTCTTTTGAAAACGGTTCTGCCCTTTTCAGACGCTGCATCAGAAGAAAAAGTCCAATAAAATGTCTTTATTCACCTTTGATTGACGTGTGCTTTTTAACACCAGCAAACACACCAAGTCAGTAAAGAAAATCAAAGTTGTGCTAAGAGAAGTGCTAAAAGGCACCAGCAGGATACCAACCATGGCTCCGATCAGATGGGCGGCCTCGGCCCCCCTGCTACCTCCTCTCAGGCACCTGACGCGCAGCATTTTCCCCAGGAATAGTGAGCGGAACTCGGACACACGTGCGGCGCAGGCTCCGGGGTCGGATCTGAACTCTATGGTCCGGATCGAGGTCCGGACCGGATTTATAGCCGCGGGTCTACGTGTCTCTAAGATCATTGGTCGCCTGCAGGCGGGCAGCAACGTGACCGAAGAAAGAGGAGACAAGATCCCTGACTGCAGCGAATTCTTATCAGCAGGGCGTCAAAAAGCGCACAGAAAGATCAGAAATGGGAACATTTCTGCACGAGCCCAATAAAAATAACTAATTAACTCACGACTTCCATTAATTAGGCTGCACCCGAACCCAGACTTTTTTTTAAATTGAAAAAAAAAAAAAAAAAGGTATCGTCCGTCACGTATTTGATTGAGTCTCCTTTTGGAAGGTCTGTTAGCAAAATATCTCATGAACCACTGGACGGATTTGAACAAAACTCTCAGAAAGTAATCACTGAATGGAAAACTACAAGTGTTTAACTGCTCGAGTCAAATTAATTCAAGATGGCCGCCACAGCTATGCAAACCTGACAAAAACAAAAATAGCCGTAGCGCAGTCAGTTTTACAGATATGGAGCTAAAGTTTGGTGTGGTAGTAGCTGAGAGTGATCCTCAACACTTACTCCGAACATTAAAATATCACCTGGGAGTTTTACTTGAAAAATTACCATTAACTATTGGAATCAGTGTCTAATGTCTGTTAGCAAAATATCTCATGAACCACTGGACAGATTTTAACAAAGCTCTCAAAAAGTAATCACTGAATGGAAAACTACAAGTGTTTAACTGCTCGAGACAAATCAATTCAAGATGGCCACCACAGCTAAGCAAACCTGACTAACACAAAAATGACCGTAGCGCAGTCAGTTTTACAGATATGGAGCTAAAGTTTTGGTGTGGTAGTAGCTGAGAGTGATCCTCAACACTTCAAGCATATCACCTGGGAATTTTGCTTACACTTTACCATTAACTATTGGAGTCAGTGCCTAATGTCTGTTAGCCAAATTTCTCATGAATCAGATTCCAAAGAACGTTTTAAGAAGCCATCACTGGTTGTTTATCTGCAACTGATCAACATTTATAATAAGTTCAATTCAAGATGGCTGCCACAGCCAACTGAGCTTACCCACCACAAAAATAGCTTTGTTTCTCAATACAAGAGGATTTTAGTTTAAAACTCCAGGCCTGAAAGGCAGCGGGTGATATGCATTCCTTCAAGGAATGCCAGGGCTTTCATTATAAAAAGGTCAGCGAGAGAACAAACCCGTGGGTCCGGACAGGTTCTGTTTGTGTTTGGTTGCATTTACCCCGGCAGTGTTGGGAACAGCTTCTCACAGTGAGCTGAAATAATCAGCTTTACACCACATGCTCCATGGACTGTGCTCGCAGCAGTTTCACAACCCCCCCACGCCCACAGACCTCAGTGACTTCTCATATCTAAAGAAATATCTTCTCAAGGCTCAAAGGATCCGAGCTGAGGACGTCTGCAGCATCACTTCCTGCTCCAGACGCCACAGAAAGGACTGAACACGGTGAGCAGGTTTTTAAGACGCCTCGCAGAAACGACCGTCGTGCCAACAGATTTCTGCAGGTGCTCCACGGGTGCAGCGGGGTCTGAGCGACGTCATCAGAACGAGGATTCTTATTACAGGCGTGCACGTGCAGCAGCCGACCTCTGAGGCCTGCAGGCATCCAGATCTTCAAGGAGACGCCATCTGTAACTCGAGCAGGTCAAACGCATTTAGTCTGAAACCACAGAAACCTCGGAGTTAGTCTCCGTCACCGGCTGATGCTCAACTTTTGCTCTTCACTTCGACCTCTGGGAGCTCGTTGAGCTTCAATCTGACGAGCACGGCTGCTCAGAACAGTCACAGCTCAGTGAGGTCCAACGGGCCTGAAGCTGTTTTCCCAGAAACTTCGGCTGCTTCGTTCACTTGAGACTCTGCAGAGACGTCCCAGCAGGAACGCCTTTTTGTCATGTTTTAAAAAGTACAGAGGCAAAGAAAAGTATCCAACATTTGGCGCTCAAACTAGTTGTAATGAAGCCAAACTATTCCCAGAATTCATGTTTGAGGTGATTATTGACCGTAAGCTGTGCTGGAAATCACTAATTCTGTTCAGACAAAAAGATTTAAATCTGCTGCAGTATCAGAGGAAGTCGAGTCAGCAGGTTCAAACATGACTCGTTTACATTTATTAAGTGTCACGTTCTTCAGTCGATTCAGTTGATGATGTGGTCCTGTTGGTGTCATCTTCAGCTCTCTGGAGCGGTTCACAGGATGAGGATCAGAACCTCCAGATGTGAGACCCTGGTCCTGAATCAGAGGGTGGACTGTCACCTCCAGGGTGAGGTTCTGCCTCAAGTGGAGGAGTTCAAGAATCCCGGTTTAGTTCTCAGTGAGGGAAGAATGGAGCGAAAGATCTACAGATAGATTGATGCAGCTTCTCCAGTATTGTGGACTCTGAGCCGGTCCGTTGTAGTGAAGAGTGAGCTGAGCTGCAAGAAGAAGCGATCTGTTTACCTATCGTCTACGTTCCTACCCTCTCCTGAGGTCCTGAACTCTGGGCAGACTGAAAGAATCTGATTTTTTATCCAGGAGGTCTGAATGAGTTCTCTCTGCAAGCTGGACTCTCCCTTAGAGATCAGGTGAGAAGTTCAGTTCTCCAGCAGAGACTCGAAGTAGAACCTCTGCTCCTCCACATACAGGGGAGACAGCTGATGTGGTTCATCTGGTAAGAATGGACCCTGGACACCTCCATAGGCGAGCTGGTCTGGGAAGCTCAGTCCTCACCTCCTTCTACAGGTGTGCAGTGGAGAGCATCCTGTGCTCCAGCATCAACATGTGTCATGGAGGCTGCACAGCTGCAGAAAGAAAAGCTTTGCAGAGAGTGGTGAAGGCTGCACAGAAGTCTGTTGGAGTCAGTCTCCCCACCATCACAGACATCTCCACCTCCAGATGCAGGAAGAGGGCCACCTGCATCATGAAGGACCCCACTCACCCAGCACATACACTTTTTGCCCCGCTCCCCTCAGGCAGGAGGTTGAGGAGCATTAAGTGCAGAACCACTAGACTGAGGAACAGCTTCTACCCTGAAGCTGTTAGACTCATGAATATCTAACCAGAATAATCACTGTAATGACACTTTTATTTGAGATATGTGACTTATCCATGAGGCAGCACGGTGGCGCAACTGGTAGAGCTGCTGCCTCTCAGCAAGCAGGTCCCTGGTTCAAAACCCCGGTCCAGGGTCCTTTCTGGGTGGAGTTTGCATGTTCTCTCCGTGCATGCGTGGGTTTTCTCCGGGTACTCCGGTTTCCTCCCACAGACCAAAAACATGCATGTTAGGCTGATTGGTAACTCTAAATTGTCCCTAGGTGTGAATGAGAGAGTGAATGGTTGTTTGTCTCATTTGTCTCTATGTGTCCCTGTGATGGACTTGCGACCTGTCCAGGGTGTACCCCGCCCCTCGCACAGTGATTGCTGGACATGGGCACCGGCGACCCCCGTGACCCAAAATGGAACAAGCGGGTAAAAAAAATGGATGGATGGATGGACTTATCCATGCTGCTGATTTTTGCCTTTAAGCTGCTGTATTCACACCCATCTGCTCACAACTGACTCATGTTCAGGCTGCTGTTTAATACACCATATTATATTACATTAGTATTGTTTATATCTTGATCCTTGTATTCTGTTTCCTTTTTTATACTTAATACTTTAGCTATTTTTGGATGTAACTGGGACCCTGAGTACACAATTTTGTTCCGCCTCATGTACCACATGTGATGTGAATAAAGATACTTGAACCTTGAATCCTCCCAGAAGAACTAGAAGAAAGGTCTGGACCTCCCAGATCAAGCGACTGCCCCAGAGACCCAAGTCCAGAACCAGATGATGGACAGATGCATAAAATAGCAAAAACAGAAGAGACCAGTTTCATGAAGAACTTTTTTGTTTGCATCAGGACGACGTTGTTCTGCAGAACATTCTGTCCTCATCCCTTCAGGGCCTGAGTCCCCCCGCTGGAGAACAGCTGGAATCACATTTAAAGCAAGAAAAAGAAGGATTTCATGAAAGTTTGTTCTGAACAGTTTTGACTCAAACCCAGTTACACACGAGAGCTGCTGCCTCAAACACAAAACATTAAAAACATTGAACTAACCTCGTTCTTTATGTCTGAAATACTGTGTAGAGAAGATCCTAACTCTGGATCATAAAGTACTCTCAGGCTCCACAACATGAAGAACATCACATATGAACATTGTCACATTTCAGAGAGTTGTTAAATGTCATTGTTGGAGTGATTTGATGAAAAGCTTCAGATTCTTCTGCCACGCGCTCCGCCCCTCAACTTTTTTTTCTCTCAGGCTTTTGTTGCTCAAGTGGACTTTTAGGAAACATCTGACCATGGACTTGTTTCTGACTTCTCTCCTTTTAGGAAGCATCTTCCTCGTCCCGCTCCTGCTGAGGACTTTGTGCCCGCAGCTGTGGACGGATCTGCTGTATTTGCGGGATTTGTTGCGGGTTCTGGTCTTGTACGCAGGCTGGAGGAGGAGGAGACCCCCCTTCTTCGTCCTGGACCGATTCTTGGAGCAGTGCGCAGCGTTTCCACAGAAAGCCTTCATCGTGTTTGGAGAGGAGAGCTTCACCTTCTCTGAGACGGACAGGAGGAGCAACAAGGTGTCGCACGCGCTGCAGAACCAGGCGGGGTACCGACCCGGGGACCCCGTGGCGCTCTTCATGGGGAACGAACCGGCCTTCCTGTTCACCTGGCTGGCTCTGGCCAAACTGGGTTCTCCTGTGGCCCTGCTGAACTCCAACATCCGGAGCAAGTCCCTGCTGCACAGCTTCAGCTGCTGCGGGGCATCAATGCTCATAGCAGCTGAAGGTAGCTGGACCCCTCTTTAGCTGCTTTTACTGACCCCACAGCTGAACCTTCAGCTCATTCTGGACAGGGCTGCTGGGACTGTTGTTGTTGTTTTTGTTTGTTTTGTTTTTGAGCTTTTTTTTTTTACTTTTCAAAAGTAAAATCAGGTTTTCTTTAAAAACAGCTTCAGCTGCTGGCTCTGGGTTTGTCCTTTAGCTTGTAGCTACAATTCTGCTACTTCTACAATTCGTTGACTTTTAGATTCTAGCAAGCCATTTGGTACCTTTAGCTGTTTTACTAGCATTGTTTTTTTTAACTTTGGTGCTTTTATCTGATACATTTAGCTCTTGATTAGCCTTTTGTTACTTTTATAGTTGTTTGTAACTTTTAGCTACCGTTTTGGTACTTTTTTGTGCCACCATTCTGCCACATTTAGATTTTAGTTACTCTTTTGTTACTTCCAGTTTTATCTTACCATTCTTCTACTTTAGCTCCTGGCTAACTGAAACTTTTAGCTAACCTTTTGCAACTTCTGGCTTTTGGTTAGCATTCTGCTCCTCTTAGCTTTTAGCTCTTTGCTCCTTTTGGCTTTAAGATCTCAGTTTTTAAAGTTCTGCAGCTAATGTCAGCTGTTGTTCACACAACATTTCTTTTTATTTGTTTTCATTAAATATATTTGTAAACTTTGTATTTAAATACAAAAATAAAATGGCTGACGTTTTTTATTGACAACTGTAGAAGAAGAGAAAGAGAAAGCAAAACAAATGTTCAAGCTGCTTGTTGTTATCGCCATGGTAACCATAAGCCCTTGTCTGTCTCTCCCAATGAGACAGAAACACAGAGTAAAAAGTAAGCCTGGGACAAACAGCCTGCGTGAAAACCTGAAGTCCGATCCCAAAACGTCTTGACCCGTGAGCAGCAGAACATTCTGATGGTACCACGGGTTCTGTTTGATGGTTCTGCAGGGTTTTATGGAGGACATATGACAAGTTAAAACAAGTTTTCACGTCCTGTTTTCTGAGCTCAGCTACAATGGAAGTCAACAGGAGTTTGGTTGTGTGACCTCAGAGAGGAAACATCTGTCTTACAGCACAGGAAGGCCCGTCAGCTTAAATGTGATAATACAAAATACATTTTTCTCATCAGTAGAGGGTATAAAGTTTTAGTCACCTCATATAAGTATATATATATTTTTTGTACAGAGTTGTTTTAGATAAAGTCAGCGTATCCATTTGTTTGCAGATCTGAAGAAGGCGGTGGAGGACGTCCTGCCGTCTCTGATGGACCAGGGAGTCTCCGTCCTTCTGATGTCCAAACACTCGGACACGCCAGGAATCCAGAACTTCTCCGATCAAATCGAAGCGGCTTCGGACGCTCCGATCCCTCGGTCCCTCAGATCACACGTCACTCTCAGAAGCCCTGCAGTTTACATTTACACCTCTGGAACCACCGGTACCGGAGAGGCCGGAGCTGGGTTTCTGTTCAGCGCTTCGCACTTTGTCCTGATCAGGTCTCGTTGTGTTTCAGGTCTCCCTAAAGCAGCTGTGGTGAACCAGAACCGGCTGCTGTCAGCTCTGGCTGTTTTATCCACGTACGGCGTCACATCAGAGGATGTAAAGTACGTGAACCTGCCTCTGTACCACACCGCGGGCTTCCTCGTTGGCTTCATCGGCTCCATCGAGTCAGGTGAGCTGGAGCGGAGGAGAAGGCGGCCATATTTGATTCACATGACTATTCATCAGCGGTGTGCAGAACATGAACTGTGTCGTCCTCAGTATAGAAGGTATTCAAGAGTCACCGGAGCGTGGTTACATGGTGGTGAGGACTATTTCCTGAAATATATCATGCTCCAGGGCTCCCCTAAGTTTTTCTTCAAGACTGGAAAGACTCCATTTGAGCTGGTGTTACCGGAGAGCGTTAATGTGGCGCACCTGGAGTTTGTTTTAAATTTTACAAATTTACTTTGCAATTGGCTAAAAATATACTGCCATGTTTGTTGGCTTCTGCGCATATGCTGGCCAACTTCTGAATTTGATTGCTTTGTACACATGAACACTGTAAAAATCTGCAATACACGAATAAAACCATCACTATGTTTAAATTTTAATTCAGAGAAACAAACAAACAAATAAATGGGAAAACAGCTCCAACAATGTGAATAATCAGTCGGCAACGTTCACGTTACGACCAGTGACGTGATACGACCAGTGACGTGATACGACCAGTGAC